ATCTACTTCTTTTTCCGCTTATCCCTCTTCCTATTCTTATTCGATTTATCTTATCGTATACGAATACTTTCTATCTATAAATAAGAGTTAACTGGTAACTTATACTAGATAACAGATTATATATGCAATTGTGTTGTACGTGAATGGTTGTAAAATGCTATTTTATTCGTGGTGAAGAGATAGGATTGTGGAGTATTTATATGTACGGCAATATCTAACCAAACGGTAGTAATAAGTTGGTATTTGAACGCTAATTTTTATTTAAGGTAAAACCAAAATATCCCCAGTTATACAAATGAGTTCTACAGGTAAGAAGATACATCTCAAATGTTAAAAATGCTATACTCTGAGTGTAGATACAATTGAAGTAATAAATAAACAAGTCTCAATTATGGTGTCTCTCATTAAAAAATCCGTCAAACACACGATGATTCAAAGAGTAAAACAAGGGCTATTGGACAAACAGAGCAGACAACATGCCACAAATGTAAGTAAACAGAAAAACGTTTTATATAACAAATGCATCAAAAACTCAATGATCATGACCGAATCTCATGTCCGTCAAAGTAGTTCGTAAGAAATGGAAAATTACAAATAATAAGACAAAACCGAGTGCAATGACGGTAGTGTTCTAGAATAATACCACTTAATCGTAGTGAAGAGTATAGATGTCAACCAATAAAAGAGTAGAAATACGGCCTGAAAAGTACGCCATACATATATAATGATATGATAACTAGATGTACCGGAATTGGTTTGCCAACTAAGAATTTCCGAAATATTGTAACTTTAGGCAGGTAGAACTAGATGAGCACGACTGAAAATACTAAATTAGTAAAGATACGCTTCTTCTACGATGGTACTTTGTGTGCTAGGGGTACACAGAATAGCGTGAGTGAGGATGACTGTAAAAGAGAAAAAATAGAGGTTATCTGAATACCAAGCAGATGCACATAATTCACTTAAATTTAATAACGAAGACAACTGACATCAACTACAGACATCGTAAGCCTCATATTAAGACAATCTTCGAACCGAAACTTTCGGAAGGTAGTTTAACCCGCTACATATTTGGAATTAATAATAAAGGCTTGATGACGTACAAAGTAATCGTCAGTTAGCTTGAACGCTACGAATTTATAAATATGTTTTATTTTGAAATATCCACGAGGCATTTATTCACTTTTTATATCAATGACCTTAATTATATTTGTTACTGTTTTTCCTTGACGGTGTATAATTTTCCAAAGACAAAGATGAATGCGTGACAATAGTTTATTTTAGCACTGCACAGACTAGAGTACCAGCAGTCGTATGAAAGTAAGAGAAAAATGCTAACATGGACACGAAGGAAAGCGCGAGTGAATAAATAAAAATGAAGTAGCACATATATACAAGTGTTATCTAACTCAGAGCACACTAAATGTCACTAGATACGTGTAGTGTCAGTGAAATGTCACAGAGTCCTAGTCAGACCATGTAGCAGTGGGATCTGTAAATGTAAAAAAGTTTAGCTATCCCAGTTAGCGTTGAGGACAGCTAACGCAAATTAATCACTTATAGCATTCAAGAGCAGTGTCATGCGGCAGTCGTTGCTTCTTGTACTCCAGGCAACTTTTAATGCTAATGGGATAAATGCTACCTATGTTGACTCAAAAGCAACATGTAGCATGAGTAAGAAGTGAAACATCTGGCAGCAGGAGATTGAAATTAAAAGGACAGGAAGGAAATCGGAGAGCAATCGAAATAACGACAGAACGTGATGAATGATGGGGTATGTAAAGGATAACTCAAAGAAAATGTGCAAATGATGTATTTAATGTATGATTTCCGTTATTTGCTAAACCACTGTGCAATTTTCCATCGAATATTAACTTGGCTTTCTCTACCTGAGTTCTCATTTGCTACACTAATACATACTATTGCTCATTGGGAGTATTTATTCTATTATTAAGACAGCATAATAAAAGTTACGTGTTATCGAAAAATGAGACATCAGAGTAAACTTGAACGTCCCACTATGTCAGTTGAACTCGAGGAGACGCGAAATCGTCGACAACCGACAACTACATTAGTAATCCACAGTAGTGAACAAGAATTTAAATTACTCAATCTGCGACGAGTATTAAATTTGTTTTTACATTCCTAACCGATTTTCTCCTCTACTATCTTCACTGCAGTTGTTTATTAATTACTGCTAATTTTAATTGTAATATTTTAACGACAATTAGTATTCAAAATTAATTACTTAGCTCAGTCAATAAACATAACATAATTCTCGATATGTAGACAATCCTTTGAAAGTGTCTTTGAAATCTTTCATTTCTAACTTCCGGTTTGACTTGGTTCGGTACCCTCGATTATATAGCTTTGTACTGGAAGCAGCTCTGTCAAGCTCTGAATATCCGTGAAATCTTTAGGTTGCTGGAACTTACGTATATTTAGCGGGATTCGAATTTAGTGTATTTTTTCAACGTCGTCTTGATGAAAGTACTCGACACACTGGGTACGAAATTAAATATGGAATATGTATTTCATTAGTATCATGTACCTGTCGTCGTCAATTAACTGGATCCAAAGACAAACACTAATATCTTGAGTTCATATTACCGAAACTAATGTGGAAGGCTCGAATTCACTGAAATTTTAAACTTTTATTTTGGTGACTGTGATTATCTGACACAGTATCTATGTACATATCGACTACCCGCTCCCTTTACATCCTGAAGTTATGTCGGCTGAGTAAGCAGTCAAGTGACAAGAATATCTGAACAAATCACTGAACGCCAACGAAAGTTAAAGGTTGCTTTGTGCTATACAGGGGTTACTGATGGATGTGAGAAGGTGGAAACTGAGCAATTCACTTGATCATGACAACGTACACAATAATTTCCTAAAACAATGTGTAGGTGAATTGTTTCGACCAGTTTCTTACATGTTTAGAGATCCGTGAACTACAAAAGAGTTTGTAGTGACATACATTTATCAAGAGAACGCGAGTGATGTAATGGAAACAATTATTATTATAACCAGTTGTACCAAGAATTGTTTTACCGTACTCGTTTGTTTAACTGTACCAAAACACATACATTCTTCCGTTGATTGTGGCCTTGCACGAATTCGGTTACGCTCAGTTACCACCCTTGTAACCTGGCACGATCTCTGTATTATTTCGATACCACGAACTTTCCAACAAATACATCCCAACTACAGCCATCAACAGCCTTCTGATAGTAGGCTTACAGGGGATGTTATCGGTTAACTGTCACGTAGTCTTCCTGTAATGGTGATCATAGTCAACGGCGACTCGACGCCTCACAACAAGTTAAAAATGGCTTATCAGCTCTCCAATGCTCGAAGGTTTTATGATCGAGTCGCATGCCACACAACGATAGTATTCTTTAAGTTGTCCAAGTGTCCAATCAATGATCACCTGAAAGAGATCACTACTAGGGATCAAATCTTCAGGAATACTCAAGACGTGTTATGCGGCCCAAGCATCATTTTGATGTGAGATTATGGAATGGACAGCGATATCGTAATGAATCACTTCATGCGCAACATCTTAATACGTCTGAACTTTTTAACCCTGCATTGAGCTTTTCCACTCATGAATATGTAAAAAATGAGTTTCATCTGCCTTCTTAAATCCTGGGCGTATTTCCACTACAACCATCCATACGACGACTCGGAGACATATCTATTGTTGCTCGACTTACTTTTTGTCTTATTCTCTTCTTTCCAATGTTTCTTCAAAGGAGATTTTGTTTTAACCACCTCAGAACACAGTGAGCCTTCAGGAACATCCTTATTAGTATACTAAAACACCATGGAGATATTGGACACTGGGTTCTATCTGATCCACAATTCATTGGTTACGCAACATTGCATCGTCAAGTCAGTATGTAGTGTGTACCAAATATATTTAAGTCTGAAAGATTTGTGAAAATATCCTTACGAATGCATCCATATTCCTTTTAATTCTACCAAACACATATTCGCTCAGATTACTTCATCTGAGAGGTCGACTTGTGGAGATCAAACTTATTTTGTAAATAGTTTTTAGTATTATTTGCATTCATTTTGTTAATTTTCACAGTGTGTACATATATCACAAAATGATTATACGTATTGTTCCAGTGTAATACTTAATTTTAACACTTCAAAGTGTAAAGTAGTCTATTTGCGACATGTCGCAGACTACAGTCATAACTTAGGAAACTCCTCTCTGGTAGTATTCCAAGTCGAAAAAGATTTAGGAGTCCTGGTGCCCTACGATTTAAAGTCTTACGCTAACTGTGACAAAAATGCCTTCCGAGCAAACCTTGCACTAGTAAATTTGAAGCGCATTTTTAAACAGTTTGACGGAAGAACTTTCCATATAATCTTCAATAGTTTCATCCGTCCCCATTTAGAGTACGGAAACATGGTACTTTCCTACTCACTCCAAAAGGATAAGTACACTTAGAAGCACATCCAGCGGCGAGCCACGAAATCTGTTCGAGGACTTAAATTTAAACCTTACGAAGAGCGCCTCCATCCACTAGACCTTTACCCATTAGAGTAAAGGCGTCTTACAGGTGAGCCATTAATGGCTTATAGTATTCTCAATGCTTTTGGATATCCTCTCAAACACCTACTTAAGCTTAGTTCCAACACTAACCTAAGGGTTAACACCCAGAAACTGGAGACACAACATAGCAAAACGAAATGTTGACATAAATTCTATTCCTTAAAAGTTGTCGAATGCTGAAATTTGCTGCCGGCAGAGCTAGTCCAAGCGACTTCCCAGGAGTCCTTTAAGAGGCAATTTGACCTATTCTTAAGAACCAAGGACAGCATCATACTATGATTTACTAATTTCTTTTCCTCTTTTATTGTTAACATATCTAGGTTCTTGCCTGGAGGATTTGGTGATCCCTTGCTACTAGACACGGAAGCCTGTTAAGCGAAAGCTTCTTCTGTTCCGTCCACAACCATTTGAACCATTTGAACCATTCATGACCTTGAGCACACTTTCTTGTGTTGTGTTACATTACTATACACAGACCCCTTGTTCTCTATAGCTCGTGGTTGTTGTAACTGAACTCTAAATCATCTACTGTCTTTATTTATAGATCACAGCCACATTTACGTTATATTCTACGATTGGGTATATAGCTGGAAGCACAATAATCTTACTGGAATCATTAATCATCTGTAATTGGGGGTTCTGGTACCAAACTCAATCTGAACACGCACAAGCCAGCTGACTTAAGTAAATTACCTAATTTTTATTGCATTTATAACGTATAACTGATATGTTTGTGCGCAATAACTTTATTACTATTTTTGAGTTCATATATTGTTTAGGATTTATATCCTGCAGCAGACACCATCTTATATTCAATGCCGTGGGAAACTAAAATTTTTATGAGTTTGAGGGGAACCCTAGAATTTTCTTAAAATCAAGAGATTTGGCTGACGAGAGGAAACCACTTTGTCAGGAAATATTCTGGCGCACATATGTGGTAGCGGATATCCGCTACCATGAGTTTTGTCCCATTTTTCAAATCTGACATGCTTTCACATAAACCGTTTATGTAGGATCAGTAAAATAATATGTATAGGGGATTGTTCGCATATCACTTTACAAGATTGAATGTCTGATGTTTAGTTCTTTATATTTTCTATTACTCTAGATGATTCTCATTCACTAGTACATGGTTTTTATTCTTACCTAAATTATATATAAGCACTAAATTACTAATACCAACTGTCAAAGTTTGACTTAAAAGCAAAAAATAAGCCCGTTATTACCAAGTCTAAAAATGTGTTTGTTATAGTTCCAATTGTTTCATCGTATACTTTGCATTTTATTTAGTATTTTTTTGACTGAGCTGTTAACTTCACCCTTAATGTCATTGTTTACTGGGTTGTGAACTTAAACCAATGTTTCTTTTGTAAATCTTTATCCAGTGTGGCGGAAAACTTTCGCTTCAACAGTCCTGTCACCTTGTACATAGTACATCTGGCCTTAGACATGGCGTGGACCATGGTTTGTGAATTCGATAAAAGCAATATTTTAAACATATAGACTCGAATAAATTCAGCCGTAAATAATAACTACAGTCGTTACTTGATACATTGCAAACGTTATTTAAAAGAAGTCTTAAGTTCAGGAGTACTGGGTGCTGAAGCAGCCTCACTTGATATAGTTGAAGTAAGCTAGTTTTTTTTTATCTAAAACGTTATAGTTTTGTCGGTGAATAAATGTGCTTTTTCCACAAATGTGTTCTCTCTAACTACATATTCTTCTTCCCGTTTTGGACTTCAAAATGCATGCAATTGATTAGCAGTCCAATAATTTCAACGCTCAGTTTGGCAATCAGCTTTTGTGCTTAAACCTATTTTACCTACTCATGGAACTTGGGACATTTGGGAACACCGATAGTTTTTAATAGACTTACAACTGATCGCGCGATGTTTCGCACGGTTGATGACTAATCCTACGGATCCTCAGTATCTATCACTACCGTTGTCGAAAATTTATGTCTACTGACTGAGATACTGTATATTTTGTAGCCGCTTTCTTACTAGATCACTTAAAGTTTATACCCCTTCAATTTAGTTTATTAACACCGATCACTAGTACCATGTTTCATCTACCAACCAACTTAATAAGTAGTTGAAAGAAGCAAGACTATTAACTAGGGACGAATTTGGGGGTCGGTCGTACTAGGGCATTTGAGAGTAATCCCCCCAAATATGTCGTCTAATGAATCGTAGATAGACAACGGATAGTTCTAAAATTGTATGAGTTTCTGCTTAAACTGGTGTCTGTGTCAATAAGCATAATGAATGTAAGATAGTAGTATAGAGTGAATATTGGAAGTGACCAATTATGCGAAATATTACACCACCATTTTATTGATAGGAAGTTCAGGATAAAATTGTACTTACATCCGTTCATTTCTGCAGTTAAGAAGTAATGGCTCAGTAGTAATCATCTCACAGATAAGATTACGATTTGAGTCTTCGGAGAAATTCAGCGTATGAAAAAACATGAATACAAGGTTCAAATTCTGTATTTAACAATAATCATAGTGTAATTAGGAAGAATGAATTGTGATAAATTTTGATTTAAAAAAAATTAAGATGTTAGCGGGACATAGACTGGATTAAAGCATGCTCAATGCACGATTGCTTTGGTGCACGCTGATTGGCTAATTCAATACTTAGTGAACACTCTAGAAATGCTCTCATATGAAAACTATAAATATACTAACGTTTTCCCTATTGTGCTTCTTACTTCCATCTAACCTTGTTATTTGGAATATAATCTCTTTCCTGTTCAACCGTGTTCTGATTTGGGGACTTGTCAAGTGAATCGGTGTCCGAGAATACTAAGCAATAGAAATAGCTGGGTTATAATCGTAAGAGAGAATTATAACGTAAGATCATGAACCGATTGATGTTAAACCACCATTGGAAACCTGGAAGCACTGGACGAGCGTTTCATCCTATTGTAGGACTCTCCAGCGGTGCGCATCCACGACCCCGGGGTCTTCAGTTTCGCGCGCGAACGCTTAACCTACTGGACCACTGAGCCGGCATCCAATGATGTTAATGTCTAACATCAATCGGTTCATGATCTCAATCAAAAACTTAACAATCTTCACAACCCCTAAACTGAAAATTTTGGTTTCCCTGACTGGGAAGTGATCTAAATTCGTTTATGTTCTAAATGATATTTAATCACTTTTACTTTTGCCCTCAGATTTTGCATACAGGTGTGGTATTTATTTAGGAAACTAGATTCTAAATAACTATCACCGGAAACTATAAGCAAAAAAATTAATAATTCAGTCATTATATACTTAAAAGGTACAAGCTAGTTAAAGGCAACACAAATGTACTGTTATTATGAATAATCCAGAGGTATTGAGCAAAAATATACCCCCAAATGCCCTGGTACGGTTGAGGGTGGGGGGAGTCAGCTCTCATGCTCTCAAATGACCACACGTATACAACCACTACTAGGGATTTCCTACTCACTGTCTTTTCACGAAGGGGGCGTTTTTTACGAAATTGAGAGAATGAAAAACGAATGTCCGTCGCTTTAACTGAGTTGGTGGACATGAATAGTCCACCTATTTACTTACTTAATTACGCCTGTTACTCCTCGTGAAGGAGTATAGGTCGCTCACCAGCATTCGCCATCCAACCCTGTCCTGGGCAATCCTTTCCAGCTCCTTCCAGTTCCTATTCATCCTTTTCATATCTGATTCTATTTCCCGACGTAATGTGTTCTTTGGCCTTCCTCTTTTTTGCTTCCTTTCAGGATTCCAAGTCAGGGCTTGCCTTGTGATGCAGTTTGATGATTTGCGTAATGTATGTCCTATCCATTTCCATCGTCTTTTCCTAATTTCTTCTTCAGCTGGAAGCCGATTTGTTCTCTCCCACAAAAGGCTGTTGCTGATGGTATCCGGTCAATTAATCTTGAGTATCTTGCGTAGACAACTATTTATAAATATTTGTACCTTCTTGATGCTGGTTGCTGTAGTTCCCCAAGTTTCATCTCCATACAGTAGAACTGCCTTGACGTTTGTATTGAAGATTCTCACTTTGATATTGGTTGAAAGTTGTTTTGAGTTCCATATTTTCTTCAATTGTAGAAATGCGACCCTTGCTTTGCCAATCCTTGCCTTTACGTCTGCATCTGAGCCTTCTTGTTCATCGATGATGCTTCCTAGATATGTGAAGGATTCTACATCCTCCAGAGTTTCGCCATCAAGAGTGATTGGATTGCTGTTCTCCGCTTTGAATTTCAGGACCTTGGTTTTCCCTTTGCGTATGCTCAGGCCTACTGATGCAGAGACTGCTGCTACACTGGCTGTCTTTATCTGCATTTTTTCGTGTGTATGCGATAGGAGTGCTAGGTCATCTGCGAAGTCCAAATCGTCATATTGATTTTGAGCTGTCCATTGTATTCCGTGTTTTCCTTCAGATGTCGAGGTCCTCATAATTCAGTCGACCACCAGGAGAAAAAGGAAGGGAGAGAGTAAACAGCCTTGTCTTATTCCGGTCCTTACTTGGAATGCGTCTATCAGCTGTCCTCCATGCACTGCTTTGCACTGTAGTTCGTCGTATGAGTTCCGGATAATATTGAAAATCTTCTCAGGAACTCCGTAGTGTCGAAGAAGTTTCCATAAAGTTCTCCTATCCACACTGTCAAATGCCTTTTCATAATCAATGAAGTTGATGTACAGTGACGAGTTCCACTCAGTTGATTGTTCGACGATGATCCGTAGTGTCGCAATTCGGTCTGTGCACGACCGATCCATACGGAATCCAGCTTGTTGATCTCGAAGTTGGGCGTCTACTGCGTCTTTCATTCGGTTCAGCAACACTCTGTTAAAGACTTTCCCTGGTACTGACAGTAGTGTAATGCCCCTGTAGTTTTCACATTCGCTCAGATCTCCTTTCTTTGGAATCTTGATGAGGTATCCTTCTTTTCAGTTCATCGGCACTTGTTCCTTCTTCCAAATCTTTTTGAATAGAAGGTGCTCACGAGCTCCAGGATTCTGAGGGAACAAATGTCGTATGAACCAATTATTAGTCACCGGCTACCATAGGACTGAATATCCTGACGTTGCTTCACTACCTTGCAGATTAGACCTCGAGGTTATTGACCTGGGAGTGTGGCCCTCTAACGGAACCACCCGCTTCGGTTTGGGCACCCGGGAAGTATGACAGCCCTCACAAAAATCAGTGGTAACTACGACTGGAAAAAATTTCACTTGCTTTCAAGCTTTATCAAACAAATCTTATTCGCGACTTACTGTAAGTCACTTCTTCAGAGAATAAATAACCAAATTAAAATTAATCCAAGTTTAAATAGTACTATTGTACTAGTGTAGTGAACAAGAACACGGGTGGGGACAAACGGATGTATTTAGAACAACAATTACAGTCTATCTCAACAAAATCGGAATACCATATAGTCAATCGTCGATTTGCAAAATATTCATGCATCGAACCAAACTGGACTGTTTCTGTTGCAAACACCAATCCATTGTCTCCCATTCCACTGTTCATGCATTTTCTTACAAATCCCAATGTGTTCTCGCTCTACCTTTCTTGATCTTCGCCATCTTCCGCTGCCAGACATTACGTTCTTTTAACGCACGTTATATACTACTTATACCGATATAAGTAGCTCACACCACACTAGTACTTTTTAAACTTGAATTAATTTTAATTTCGTTATTTATTCTCTGAAGAAGTGACTTACACTAAGTCACGAAACGTCAGAAAATCCAATTTTCTACTCATTGGGACATTACAAATATATTATTTTTATTTATAACAATGAACCCAATGCTCAATTTATTCGAAATTATCAAATCAAACCTTGGTAATGACACCTACAAAATCTTATTCGCGACCATATGACAACATTCGCTTTTATTTCTTCTATACTACGTCACCTATGTATTCTCCTTTATTTTCATTTTGTGTATTTTATCTTCCAACTTATACAGCAGTTCGCCTATGGTGGAAACCTTGTTTAATCTGAAGGATTTCAAGTCACTTACTGGTCGAAATTCGAATGCTACCACCGACTGTGAATACTAAAACAGTCCTTCTAAAATCACTTATACCATTCAAACTGGCTACCTGTAACGTTCGCACACTAATTCAGATCAGAAAACAAGTGGGGTTGGCTGTGTTTTTAGAAAGTCTCAATATCGATGTCTGTTGTCTATCCGAGACCCGTATTCAAGACTAGTGATGGACTACAAATTCGCTTTCCATCTGTCTCTTCGAAAAGCTTGTTTCATGTGCGTTTATCCGAAATATCTGTGGCATCTTCGTCCGATTTTGCTGGCATTGGTGTCTCAACTAGCACTAGTCGATTGGATCTACATTAACAGTCGGTTATGTGCTGTTAGATTAGAAAGTTCCATCAAAGTGGGAAGAAATTGCGTGAGAAATGATGTCTTTTCGTCATCGCCTACGCTCTGACAGATTGCAGGATGAGTTTTGTCACCATTCAACTGTTCTACAGAGAATGCGTACGAATGATATTGTAATACTAGCTGGAGATTTGAATGCTCAGGTCGAGCGTCTAGGCACAGAAGAGAATCGTTTAGGTGGCCGATGGGGACTTGTTGGTCTCAGCTCAGATAAAGGTGACCGTCTACTACAACTGTGCACAGACTACAACCTGTTTCTGGCTAGCACTAACTGCCGGCACAGTCATCTCCGATGTGCCACCTGGCGCCTTCCCTCTGCATCTCAAGCCTGGATTCAGATTGATCACATCGCGATCAGCTACCGCTGACGTGATTGTGTACAAGACTACCGCCCCGTTTCGAATACCTATCTGAACTCTTATCATGCCCTTGTTTGCGCTAATCTTGCCTTACGTTTCAGTGGCTAACAAATTCATCATCCTAAACGGATCAGTGTCAGTAAATTGGCTACAGCTTCTGTTGTTACTACATATCAAACCGAGCTAGGTTCAAGGCTAGCTATCATCCCACTGAAAAGTATAGATGAGCATTGGACACCATAAAAATAGCTAGTAAAGTCGATTGAGGCTTCTCGCTACATCCCGCTTATAAACACTGAGTTTCTACAGTCTCGTTACGACTCGTTGAAGCCTGTCGGTCTACTCTGTGTAACCGCAAGTTCGACCACATACGAAGACTGTTACGTAACAAAATTGGACAAAGCTTGCGCAAGGACCCAGAAACCTGGTAATCGGTGCGTGCCAACGAGTTAGAAGTAGCAGCTGAATATGAAAACTTTGGAAGCTCTTTCAACTCATCCGAGTCATTGACGGCAAGAAGTCTGATGTGAGTGAAACGATCCCTAAAGATGACGGGATGCAAATCACTAACATATATCGACGTTTTGAACGATGGGCAGAGTTTTTCGGGGAGCGATTCAACAGGTCTGCTGCCCTGGCGACATCGATCAGACTGTCATGCCTTTCATGGCCTGTGACGACTGGTCCACTTAATGAGGCGGAAGTCTGTGAGAAATTCCAACTCTTGAAGCGCTACTAATCACCAGGCCCAAATGACTTGCCTCCGACCCTTTTTAAAGATGCTGGTGACTTTCTGGTTAGGGAACTGACAGCGTTGTTTACAAAGGTTTGAAAATTAGAGAGTGTTTTAACATCATGGAATGAGTCGATAGTTGTTCCTACCTTTAAAAAGGGTCCACGTCGTTCCTGTAACAACTATCGGGGGATAAGCTTACTCCCGTTTGCGTCCAAACTATTGGCTTCCGTTCAAAACCCGAGAAAGGTTGACTTGCGAGGAGCAGGCTGGGTTTCGTTCTGGTCGAGGATGTATTGATTATATCTTCACACTACACCAAATGTCAGAACACCATCATACTCATCACAGGCCAACAATCGTAGTGTTTCTTGATATCAGGGTTGCCTTCAATTCGTTGTATAGGACTGTTCTCTGGGATTGTCTATTGAAGAGTGGTGTGCCTGAGAAGTTTATTCACATCCTAAAGGCCCTATATAAAAACACTTCAGGTAGAGTGAGGGCATACAACCACCTCTCTCCATTGTTCCATTCGAGTAGTGGGGTTAGGCTGGGTTGCTCAATCTCACCATTCCTCTTCTACTTTGCCGTCGACGACACTCTGGAAACAGCTCTGATAAATGTAAGTAATGGCGGTGTGGATCTGTTGCCTAGAGGAAGACTCTTCGACCTTGAGTATGCTAATGATATTTTCTTACTGTGCGATAATGCCCAAGGCATGCAATCCGCACTTAATCAGTTGGCAGTCAATGTCCGTAAGTATGGTATGTGCTTTGCACCTCCGAAGTGCAAAGTACTTCTACAAGACTGGCAGGATTCTAATCTTGTACTCACTCTGGATGGTGAACAGATAGAAGTAGTTGAGAATTTCGTGTATCTAGGTAGCTGCATAAGTGCTGGTGGTGGTGTGAGTGATGAGGTCAATGCATATATAGTGAAAGCCAGAACGGCTTATGCCAATCTGGGCCATCTTTGGCGCCTTCGTGATGTTAGTCTGGCCGTAAAAGGTCGGATTTACAACGCGTTGGTGAGAGCAGTTTCGCTCTATGCTTGTGAAACCTGGCTTCTCCGAGTTGAAAACGTTAGACGACTCTCTGTGTTCAATCATCTTTGTCTCCGAAGGATTGCTGACATTCAGTGGCAACACCATGTTAGTAATGCAGAGGTTCGGCATCGTGTGTTCGGGCACAGAGATGATAATGCAATTGGTGTCACCATCTTGAAACACCGACTTCGGTGGCTTAGACATGTTCTACGAATGTCGTCCCAGAAAACTCCACGTCGTGCATTATTTGCCGACTCTGGGACTGGTTGGAGAAAGCGGAGAGGTGGTCAGTGTATGACATGGTATGAAAGAAAGCTGCAAAGGACTGGCTTGTGTCGGTCCTTCCTGACCCCCTGGTTGGGGTCCGAGAGATGTTGCAACACGGCTGGCGACATCAAACATTGTTCAGAACTAAAGCCAGTGGCGATCCTGCTGTGACTTTCTTTTACTTTCTTCATTGTAAGGATTCTTCCTGGTTATATTTTTGCCAACTGAACTGTTTCTCTTCTTCTTCTTCTTCTTCTTCTTCTTCTTCTTCTTATTATTATTATTATTATTATTATTATTATTATTATTATTATTAATATTTCGCTCTTGTACACTAAATTTTGCCCGTTGTTGTTCATTTATTATACGTACTCTATCTCTTCACAACCTCATTGCTATTGAATGGCGCATATGTGTTTGGTGCCCCCTTGAACCAATGTTTATTTGTTTAAATAAGTAAATCACCCGTTGTTATTCTGTTCATCATTGTAACATCTAAAATGTATATAACAAACAGAATACCTAATTTAAAAGCTGTTAAAGTTGTTTACTTAGAAATTAACTCATGTACATACTGTATAGTCACATTATTTCTAAATTGGGAAAATATTCAAGAATCGCTGTTTCATAAATCGATTCTTTCTATTTTCTGTAAATTTCAGCTTATACCTGGAGATAAGTATGCTAAAATTGATGTCAACTGTAAACTACCAGTTTATAATGGCTCCAACAAACCTTCAATAAAACAAACACCCACCGCATTGGCATTTCATATTCAGCAGTATATGAATAGTGGAAGTAGTGAATTAAGGTAGTTTGCTCATTCTTATACTGAAAAATGCACTTGGCTACTTTTCCACAGATCACTTTTGCATAAGGGTTATCCAAAGATGAAGATTCCTGTTTTCCAGTTTTTTATAACTGAACAGACCTGTATAGTGAGTGTTTCTATTGTACGTGTTTTTTATTTTTATACCATAGACTTTTCCATGCATATGCTTCAGCTCTAAAAGGTTGTGTATTGATCTAATAGATTGTTCAGTCTCACAATCTAAATATGTATATAAACACAGAAACTAAGCAGAATAAAATGATATAGTCCTTTGATATCCTTTCTGTGTAAGTAATGGAGGATATTAGCCGGTTGTCAAGATTAATCGACAAGAAGCCATAAACTTGGGTTTCTTGCTACTTCCCATTGGTCATAAAGATGTATATTCAGGATATTCAGTTATCATTAAGGTTGGTTGTTGCATTTCAATTGAATCGATAAGATTCGCTTGGAACTAAGAAGTAAACAATCTAACATTGTAAGCAAAGATGGATGGTGCGTGGCAGTGGAATCCAGGACACATGCTTCGTCTCATATGGAACTCGTCAACTGGGTGTACCTGCATTCCAAAGTTGACTCGAACGTAATACCGTCCGCTTTAAACATCCCCACGTTATCCACTTAGATACTGAGTTCTGATAACCACTAGCTTGTGCAATAGGGTGAAGTTTCAATTCAATTTTGTATTGTTTGTTTGAGTCTTCTCATTGATGGGAAGGTCCAAACAAACATTATAAAAATAAATTAAATCCAACATTAGTTACGACTTAGTAATTAATTATTGCAACTAATCGAAAACTGTTTAAATATTGTTATGAAGCCACAGATTATTTGTATGTGTAATTTTTAACTATGGCTACAAAAGTAATTTCCAGTTTGAATCACATTACATTTTTTTCTAAAAATAAGGTCTTGTTTTTAATCATACTGATAAGATGTACTAACCGAGCTAATCTTTCACAGCATGATATGTAGTAATGATGGTCAGGATCTTCTAAATATTTATATACCAGCCGAACAGACCTCATCATACCATAAAATAGGGAATAACATTTATAGAAAATCAAGCCAAAAAATTGGCTGTGGACGTGGGAGACGGTAATTAATAAACTTGTTGTGAACAGGGAAATAAGAAGCCCAGACAAACTACAAAAGCTATTTCTTGGGACGTTATTTCATTTTATTCAAACCTTGTAAAACACTTATATCTATTTCTGTCGCTATTTTATTCTACAGAACATGAACTCTCGTTCGATGTATCATTCATTCCCATACCCCTTTTTGTTCCGAAACCATTGTAATTTAAACATAATATTTTGCACCTTATTTTCTACCCCAATTCCCAGTTTTGCGCATAATTGTATTTTCCCAAATTATCGTACGTTGTGGTCAGGATATTCACTTATTTATTCATGTACGTTTTTGCACTATTCAGAATTCAGAGAACTCAGAGTGTTCCAACTGTCTTGTCTTCTCTCACTTGCGTGCTTGCCAGCTAGTTTTCTCTCTACACCATCTCGAACTCACGCGTACCAGACTCAAGGTTAAACCGCTCAGCCTACTGCGCCAAGGTCATAATCTAGACTAGACAGATCAAGGTCAAGTCATAACAAAGTATCGACGGGGTAAAAGCTATTCAAGGTCATTAAAAAACGGGCTAATTTAAGAATAATATATCGTGTAGTTATTATTTATAGGTCAAAACGAAGCTTATAAGGGGAATATCGATATACATAATCTAGTTACTGAACCGTTATACGACAAGAATATATATATATATATATATATATTCTCAGAAGTTTCTCATAATTTAATCTTCGCTAGGACATAACAGTTCGTGATTCAGTTTTTGAGCACATTATTTCATATACCTTAGCTCCACTCCATATCTAAATGTTATCTATATATTTTCTAGAAATCGCATATTCATATACATTTTCAGAAATTTATCTTCTGTCAAAAAGTTCAATAATCGACTTAGGATCCATAGATGATAGTCTTATTTGGTGACCGTTGAGCGAATAATCCTTTGGTTCGAGGTGGGCTACTAGGCGAAAATAACAAATCGAATAGTATGGTTGGTTACTTTTATCGACTTGTTACATATATTGAAATACCATCTACTTCAACGCCAAATGTTGGCAGGTGTAAGAGTAAGTTGGAAGAAAACCAGTAGAAGCAGCTAGAGGATGATGTGACATTAGTTCATGAAATCACTAACCGTTCGATTGGCCTGTTGTGATAGATGTAAACTACCTGGTTGTGTTTTGTGTGACTGTAGTGGTAAATGGCTGAGACGTTGAGTTTTATGCTTCATAATCCATTCCAATGACGCAGATGGATTCACTCCCTATCTTACTCAAGGTTTCAGGCTCCACCATCCCTTCATACAGACATTTTCATCCCGTTTTCTCGAACTATATTCCCAGCATTATTCTTTTCATCATAGCTACTACATTATTTTGAGTCTTTTTCTATTCATATTGTTAATTTTACTTCATCTTTGTGATGTGGTATGACATTGCGAATAGTTATTTTGTGTATCTGATTCTAGATTACTGTTAGCGTTTTTATTTCATGCGTACTTTGGTGTCGAATAGTGCGATAAGAGATACAAAAAGAATATTTAACAAAATAAATAACTGAATAGCAAAACCGTATATTTTTAAAATATCATCTTTCTATTCATCAATATACGTAGTCTTACCAATTAATCGATGATCTGAAGTTGTAACATTTTACAAAATTAAATATACATCGGTCTTTTCCCTTACAAAATACTCTTTGTAGTAGTAAATTTATTCCATCTCTGTTTACATTGTTTTAAATATCCATAAAAATCCTCAAAAGTAGTTAAGCTTCTCACTTATTATGTTCTTTTACATTTGGAAATAAGATGAATTCACAGAAAGCTAAGTGTAGTAAGTTGGAAAATTGATCTAACATGGTAATCGAACTATTGGATAAGGACTGTTGGACAATCACTGTAGAATATACAAGCAAATGGTCTCATATTTATTGGATAACCCATCTCCTCACAGGGAAATCACAGTTTTCATGGATTATTTGCTAATTAATAATAAATCATCGAGGTCAGGTTAACTCCAGGCGATATTATTTAAGTACGTTGTGAATGGTTGCTTGCTTAGTCATTTCCATAACTAACAATTTAGCTGCCTAGTTCACGTATTTAATAGAAAGAGACTACTTATGTTTCTCACATGGTTAGCTACATATTAACCGTACAATTTACTTTGGTTAATTTATATTCCTCATTATCATTTAAAAAGTTACCTTGATTTGCTTCTGTGCTTGCATTACTGAATTAGGTAAATGCTCCTTCAATTGATTCAGAACATTTACAGTCATCCAACGATGTAGTATTTACTGCTATTCCAGCGTCTATCAAACCTAATAATGTTTATGGATTGGAACGTGATAAACTTGTTAAAATAATTAATTCAAGATTGAAAGCGATAAAGAAGAAATCTCATACTTTAGAGCCAAGAAATTTAGTACGTTATTATCATTTGTATTTTTATTATTGTGTATTGACTGTATGCGAAAATTGGTCAGATGACAAAATCTCTGGTTTGCATAGATATCAAATAAGTGAAATTCTTATTGTCATATGATCACCAGTGACTAATTTCGAGAGGAAAGTTCCAAAGTTTTAATGAAAAGCCGCTACGAATGGAGTTCAACCGTGTTGGGTGTAAGAGAGGTATCCATCACCAGGCAATGGGCGAAAGTTGTGCAATATCTTTAGTTGATTGAATTTAGACATTAACACCGTTGGATACTGATTCAGTGGTCTAAAGGTTATTATTATTGATGGCATTCTCGTGCAAGACCGATGGTTTTGGGTTCGATCCCTTTGTGCGGAGTTGTGAGTGTCACTCTTGAGGAGTCCTATACCTAGACGGTATGGTGCTTCAGTGGTGGTCTAACATTAATGGGTTCGTGATTTTAATGAAAACTCCTTGTCTTGTACAGTTTGAATGAATTGAAATTCCTTACAATTTTCTAGACAGTTCGATCGTATTGTCATTCTTCACATAACAGGTATATCTGATAGATTAATCTGTGAACTAAAATGATATTTTGAAATCGTGCTATTCGTTATTTAATTATTCAAGACCGAGAAACGTAACCCCGGTAGTTGGGAAGATTCAAAAATAGGGATTTAAAAGAAAATGTCTCGTAAACATTGCTTAGTCATATTATTTTGGTATATGAATAGTGTTGATATCTTCCTAGTATTCAACCTTTTGATCTAGTGCATACAAATTATATTTTGCCCTTGGAGGACTTAACTAACAAACATACAGTCCTTTAACAGTCTTCAAAAAAAGCTACAAAACACCTAGTGTTCATTTTGTAATTGAAAATTACAGTGATACTTGGAGAATTAAATGCTAAATTCGGAGAAGCAGATTCATCAGATTTGGTATGCTAATTGTCATTGTGATTAAATAGATCCTGACAATCCAAAAATGTTATGATCAATTTGTTATTCAGTAACATGCAACGTAGAATCCTGTGCATCTATGCAATGGTTCAAATCCCTGGATCATATCACCACAGATTAATGAAATTATTCAGATGAGTACCAGTGTAGTAGAAGTAGTAACTAGTATTGGTGATGGCAAAAAATCTTAGACATGGAGAATATGTGTGAAGGAAAAATGATCAAATTTGTAACCCAATGGTTTAATCTCTATGCTTTCGACCAGTAAATTATAGTTCTAAGTTTTATTCCACAACATTTATGGTTCAAATCTGAATAAATAGACATTTACTCAGTTGGTGGTGTACAATTCTAAATCATAATACGTAATAACTGCAACTTAATTTATTGTCTGGAACAGGTTTACTTTACATTCTGGGATTGATCTGGACTGCTTACTTGTGATAATACTCAATATAAGCATTAGTTTTTGTAGCTTTATTGGATATTAGGAATAAATTGGTCCAAAGTTCAGGATTACATAGTTGGGGTTGTTTTACGTTTATTCAGTTAGTCTAGTGACGAGCAATACAGATAGATCTTCACCGTTTTGAAATCTCAACGTCATTCCCATTATTAAGTAGATGACGAGCAATGGAATACAAGTTGACTTCTCAGTCTTGATTTTTGAGGAATATGCTCATTTATGCGAACGTTAACTTGCCTTTCTGTTCTCACAATCTACGTGCATCGGGATGTACTTGTAAATCGTTATGCACAATTAAAAATAACATAAAGTGAGTATTTTCCCACTTTTAAGTGCTTCAATAAGCATTTTGTTCAACATATGAATGTAGACATATGTGCATTAGCTCAAGTTAGCGTACCACATTAGTACTATGAGATGATTTTTTAAAGGGGAATAGCAAAGAAATTGAAATAATGTAAAAGCAATAATTATGGGAAAGATTGAACTTTGATAATATAACAAGAGAAAAAAACGGTGAAAAGGTTTATCTTCATTGTCGCGTTAATATATATTCCCTCTGGTTCAAAGATATACTGGTCACCGTTTTAGGCCTTAAACTTGATCATAATGTGATTTGAATAAATTACTATGGTAAATTTTATCTCATTTTAAATTAAATGACTCCAGTCAATCTACCTAATTACCTTAGTTTTAGGTTCACATTAATACGATCCTTTTGTAGCCAACTTATTCACAAAGCGTCTTATTATTTTACACCTTTCAGATATCTGATAATTATGAAGAGATAAATATCACTCCTGAATCCATTAAACAAGATCACACTTCTATCAGTGCATGGGCAAAATATTGGAAGGAGAGTCAAGATTGGCGAGCTATAGCTAAACGCGATAGAAGACTTCGTCACCAAAGTACAGGATTAGAATTTTTAACACATAATCAAAACAAGAGTAGTGACGTAGAAAATTGACATTTGACTAAACATTGTGTAAATAATACTTATTGAAATCTATTTCTTCGAATTGTTGTGCTTCTTTCAATAGAAAAAGGTTAATATTCTCTTTGTTTTAAACATGGGATATGTAGAGTGTTACTAATAGAGTACTTTTAACAGCATTCGAAATCACCTTGTTCACGATCATATTACATCGGTACCTAGCTTCTTAATTAATCATCTCATGTACTGAACATTCAGAAAATCATTTTAAAGATCCTTTTGTTTTCACTTGGTATTGTCCGGCTTGTTTCTTCCCATTGAGGTTTAAGACTGCAATTGATCAGTATGTTATTGGCATACACACAGTATGCACATATGCCAACAACAATAAACAATCTTAAACATCAATGGGAAGATGCAAGCCAAACATTACCAAGTGAATTTAAACTCACCCCATTGCACAAGCAATTGGCTATCAGGACTCGGTAGTTGGGTGGATAACGCGATGGCGTTTGGAGAGAGTGGCACTGGGTTCGAGTCCCGTAGTGAACGTGAACTCTAAGATGCAGGTACATCCAGCTGACGAGTCCCAAATAGGACGAGACGCGCGTCCTGGATTTTACTGCTAGTTACTATCCATCATTGCTTACAAAAATCCTTTTGTTTTATTCTCATTGTTTATTAATACTGACTAAACGTAGATCACACTCATCTGTTGATCTTTTCCTACAGTCAGTTGTAATTATCTCAGTCTTACAGAAGGTCAGTCTCAATCCAGATGCCTAAGTGATAAAGTGTAGGGTTGCAAACTGGATAACAAGGGTTTCGAATCTCATTAGTTTTGTCAGTCCCTTGATGATTATAAGTAGGTCTTCTGACGATTAGTAAGTAGCATGGAACTTATGTCTTGGACATCTTGTCAACTACTTCCGATCAGTTAGGAAGTTTCTTTACTGTATGTATTTTGTTAAATAAGCCAAATAATATCAGATAGGAGTTTATTAGTTACCCTCTGTTTTGTAGGTTTCTATAGTCAGTTAGTTGGATATTATCAACAAGCTTTTAACTATAAAAATGATGGGTTCGTCGAGGATTTTATATAACTCGTAAAAATCAATGCGAAAAGTATCGTTTTTCAAGGATTAAAAAAAGATTATAGAATATAGTATATCTTTTCGAAAATTAATCTTCACACCATGAAAAATTGGGGAGTTAGTATTTGTGAGCTTAGGCATTGCTCAGTGATAACATTCAACTCATCTATTGTATAAGGATTAACGGCAGTATCTATCCACTCAAGTCACAGCATGCTAGTTTTAGACTTGCCCACAAATAATAAGTGGATCATGTTTACTTTTTGAGGAAATTTGAAACCGAAGTATCTTTACCGATGCTCGACTGTATTTGCATCCATTGATCCGAACGTAGTTTCCACTATGTCTGACTAGTTTTATAGTAGTTTGGTCCACTTTCTCCGAAATCAGAAGTTCTACAGTTATATCATTGTCTATCTAAATTTTCAGCAATTTCATCTCACTGATTAGTCATGGTTTATTTGTCCTGTACTATCCTTACTCTATGGGAATCGAATTTGATCGCTTTTAAACGGAATATGTGTGATTCAACTACGCAAAATCTATTTTTCACATCTGCTTAATAATCTATGGTCTGCATAGAAATCTAGTTAGTAGGGAAAACTATAAATTACCCACTTTGGGAAAATGAATGAGAATTACTATGAATTTAAGGATAAGATTTGCAAAATAAAGTAGTTTTCACTGATAATCTCCACGATATAATTAATTCTGTTCAATCGTGTTCATGGGTTTTTTGCGTGTAATGAACATGGCGTCATTGGCAGAGGTACTTAAAGTCAGCCAGAATTCGAAGTCATGTAATAGTTGTATTGACTACGGATGGCGTACTATTACCAAACGCAAATCCGAGCACTATCCAGGGTGGTTATTGAAAGATATATGGAAATCCGTTAGAAGTACAGCTATTGAGTAACTGCTCATTTGTTTCTATGGAAATCCTCATTAAGAATTATTCACAAGGTTAAGCAAACTAATTCGAAGAGAATCCGGATAAGGGACTTGTGTCTTTCCGCGGCTTTGAGGGTTCATCATTTTAATTGGGATCTTTGTGCCTCGAAGCTGTATGTCTAATCTCTTAGGCTACCATAGCTTTAGCACCCCTCCAGATTTTGTCGGTTATTTTTTGATATATGCTTTTATATGTTCTTCATCCTCCCATATTCTTAAAGTATAAAAACATCTTCCAAATCCCTGTTTGATATGTCATTTCAACACGTGTTGATTCGTATTACCATTTGACCATTACATAGCTTTAAGTCCTGACTGCTGTTAGTGATACAACAACCCTCTATTTTCACTATGGACCATTGTATGTAGGGAAAATAACTATGAATACAACTGTAAAGCCCTCTTCACCGAAACATCTTTGTTTTTAATAACGCCATTATTTCCTCGTTATTTTTCATAGAATTTTTTTTACTACTAGATTAATGAATAAGTAGCGCAGGAAACGAATCTAAACGTTTTGAAACACCAAACAATATGAAAATCGTTTGTTCACTTCTTTATTATTTAATAAAAAAAGACATTTGATTAAGGTAAAGATAACAAATAAGTATACAAGATGACTGATCTCTTAAAAAATATATAAGTATGTAAAAGGCACTTCTTCCATAGTTATTTAAAAACGAAATATATTGAACAAGCATTATGAAGTTTTCCTACGTCTCATTATCAACAACTGAACTGTAGTTATGTACACATTCATCTTGTATTGTTCATATGATGAGACTATAATTTATAGACGGTGTTTAGGCGATGCTAAAGTGACTTTGAGAATAGCCGTCCACTAACTAGGACTGAATGACGGTTATAAATCAGTGCGAGGAATTGCAATTATGATATACCGTTGATGGTTAAGAATAGGAATAAGATTTAGGGTTTTCATCATGAAATGACATAAACTAAAATGCCGGAATGCTATTTCGCCAAATAGATGAATGAATCTAACTCCAAAATCCAATATCTGTTATCCTAAATCTGATTGGTTTGTTCATAAATTATAGTCTTGCTTCCATTTTATTTCTTTTCTGTTTCTTAATTCAACAAAATTTATGTACAATTTTTCTGCTAATTTAATAATGTTTATGAATTGTAATAAAAACGAAAGGTGATTCGTCTCTTTTTTTTGTTGATTATTTATTTACTTCTTCTTACGATAGAAATTTGTCAATGGTTTCGATGCTGCACGAGCTGCACGCTGTTGATATGATTGTTTTGATTCATGATTATATGAATCATATCCTTGTGTAAATGTATTGTGTGGTTGTTGTTGTTGTTGTACTAATCCATCGAATTGTATATTTCTTCTTCCTCCTCCTCCTCCTCCTACATATGAATTATTTAATTGAACTTGTGATGGAAAATCTAATGCAGTCAATAATTCTGGTGGATTATTCAATTCTGTTGTTTGTTGGAACATTGAATGATTTGTTATTGGATTTTTAGTACGTTTTAATAAATTTAAATCAGTTTTAGATAATTGATATGGTGCAACATTTAATAAATTTTCTAATAAATGCATTGAATATGTATACCAACGACGTTCAGTTTCACTTTCAAAATATGGTTCATTATATGGTGTTTTACGTATAAATTCTTCACAATTTTCAACAAAACTACGTACTAAACTTGTTGCATACAATCTCCATGTTGTTTTTTCTTCATGTAAATTATTTAATTTAGCTATAATTTCAGCTGGAATCTCATCGTGTTGATTGTTATCATTCTATTAAAGAGATAATAAGCAGTTTAATTATTCATGATTTATATTTTAATTTCACAAGTTGAAATCATGAGTCAGTTGAAGCTAGACCACCATTGAAAACCTGGAAGCACTGGACGGCCATTTCGTCCTGGTATGGGACTCCTCAGCAGTGCGCATCCACGATCCCACACCACACGGGGCACAAACCCAGAACCTACTGGCTTCGCGCGCGAGCACTTAACCACTAGACCACTGAGCCGGCATCCAACGGTGTTAATGTCTAACTTCAACCAATCCACGAAGTTGCGCCACCGTACACCATTGTCTTCAGTGAGTTGTTATCTCACAACAGACCGGTTGAACTCCACTGGTAACGGCTTCCCACTAGAACTCCAGGAGTATCTCTTGAAGTCAGTCACTAGTGAGCAGTCCCATACCTGGACGAAACGGCCGTCCAGTGCTTCCAGGTTTTCAATGGTGGTCTAGCTTCAACTGACTCATGATTTCAACTTGTGAAATTTCTTAAACTCTCCACAAAAACCCATTCTGATTATATTTTAATCATAAATTGATATGAACAAGTAAATCATAAGCGAGTGAAGATGCCTATATGTATGCCATGGGATACATGGGCGAAAACGTATCTGCTACCAGTATGCATATGACATAAACTTGCCCCTGGTATGACGTCCGCATTCCAAAAGTCGGGGAGGGAGTCTAACAATTTCCTCTCGCACTCACATCGTCGCGGTAGATTTGTGAGCCTTGAAAAATGAATTCCGATTCCAAAAAAAGTACTCAAGCTTTATCAGATAAGGTTTGAGCAACATTAAATGACTGAATCACTAAAGTACACAAGATTTATCTTGTAATACACTATATTCGAAGCATTTCGCACTTATGATCAAAGTACGAAGTTAATAATAGAAGTTAAACTTAACGTTCCAATCAGATGGGATATCTCGATTAATAAGGGTACATACCTTCACACACTAAGGTTGTCAGGATATTTATTGTTTATATCTAACTACCATAAAATGCTTTTTGAAGTAGGAGTAAAAATGTAGGGGCAGCTAATCCATAAGTTCATTGACTGCTACTTTGAGCCAAATCAATAGATCCAAACTTTATGATTGGAACCTACTTAAAACTCACGATTAATGATTGGCGACACCTGATGGCAAAGTGGAAAATCCCTCACAGTGCAGAAATTTCATTCATTTATTCTATTTTGCACTTCATCTTCAGTTCTTTCTTCTGTTTTATTTGTTCCTTTCAGGCTGCATCACTTATTTGTACTGGTTGTCTGAATCTTCCCATTAGTGTTTAGGATTTCAGTTGGTCAGTCTCTATTGTCATATGTG